CTTTGTGTGGTAATCCAGAACCAGAAAGACAAACATGATATGTACTCACTTATAAGTGGACATTAGCTGTTAAGGATAATCACACTACAATCCCCAGACACACAGAGGCTAAGTAACAAGAAGAGTTCTAGAGGTGACAAATGGATCTTCCTGGGAAAGGGAAATGTAATTGATTTTTGTGGGTGTTCTGGGGGCAGGTGGAGATGAGAATGGGAGGGACGAGGTGCAGAGTTGGGGACACAGGAAGAGAGTAGGAGGAGAGACTATTGGAATAGGTGGATATATAGGGAAGTATGTGGAAATCTGGTGCAGTGGAGACTTTCTTGAAGCTATGAGGGTAACCCTTGAGAGGATACCTAGTAATGTAGGATATGGAGTGTGGTGCGTTTACCCACCAACCCCACAGCTCCCCAGAGTTTTCTTGAGTGTGAGCAGCAGGAAATATTAGATAGAAAGATTTATTGCAGAGAATCTTGTGGAGATAAACAGATAGAAAATAAAGAATAGCCTCGGGGAGGCCTGGAACCTTTTCCAATGAGCCCTGACTGTCTCTAGCCCAGGGTTTTTATAGAGACGCCAAGGGGTGCAGCAGCACAGGAAAGTGCAGACCATCTCAGACACCTGCACTCAGGCCCGTGGTCCTAATCATCCTCTATGTGGACCTGCTGGGTAAAGCCACAAGGAACCCGAAAACAGGCTCCCAAAATGGAGCCTATACCAACCATCTTATTTCACCAGGCTAGGCTCTCATTGTTGGGAATTGGACACCAATCAGCAACCAAACTTTTCATCAACAACCTGCCCTGTCAACAAGCTGTGCTGGGGTAATGGTGACTCAAAGCTTATGGGATGGCCAATCAGTGACTGATCTGTCTTGAGGCTCAAGTCATGAGAAACAACCCATGGTTGACACTGACTGAATGGCCAGGAACATGAAGCTGAATTCTCAGAGTCTTAGAAGAGAACCAAACACTACTTAAAAGAAAAAAGAAATAAAGAAAAAAGTCAATGAAATGATTTCTAATCATATTCTGATATAATCATTGATTGGTGCCTAGCCCAATTATCATCAGGAAGACTTACTCCAGCTTATGAGATGCAGAGACCCATAGCTAAACTTTATAGGAAGTTTGGTAAACTACACAGAAGAGGAGGAGGAAGGACTGTAGGAGCCAGAGAGGTTGAAGTCACTAGGAGAAAATGTCCCAAAGAATCACATTAACAGGACTCATCGTGGCTCACAGAGACTGAAACAGCAATCAGAGATCCTCCATGGGTCTGTGCTAGGCCTTCTGAATACATGCTGTGTTTTTTTAGTTTGGGATTTTTGTGAGACTCATAACAGTTGGAAGTGGAGGTATCTTTTGCCTGCACGTGGGACTCTTTCGTCCTACTGGATTGTCTGGTCCAGCCATGATATGAGAGTTTATGCTGTCTTATTATGTTATGCATCTTTTTATGTCAAGTTCAGTTCATATCACTCAGAAGCCTGTCATTTCTGGAAGGAAACTGTAAAACAGTGGATCTGTGGAAGAAGGGGTGTTTGAGTGGGTGGGTGGAGGGAAGGGTAGGAAGGTTGTGCTCAGGATGTATTGTATAATTTATAGAATTTTCCTAAAATGTAAATAAAGTAAAAAAAAATAAAGCTATGATAGGCTCACAAGACTATGGGTGTAAGGGAGTAAACTCCAGTGGTTTGAATGAAAATGTCACCCCTTACATCACATATTTGTATGACTTACCCCCAGTTAGTGGAGCTATTTGAAAATAGGATTAGGAGATCTGGACCTTTTGAGACAGGACTGTTGCTGTAGAAAAGTTTTAAGGTTCTTGTCATTCAAAGCATGTCTCCCTGTTTCCTACTTGTGGATCAGTATGTAAAGTCTCAATTGTTCCTGTTGTCATGATGTCTTAGTTAAATTTCTACTGTTGTGACGAGATATCATAACCAAGACAACTAATAAAAGAAAGAATTTAACTTGCAGGCACACAGTTCCAGATGGAGAACATGGCAAGCTGCAGGATGGAAGGATGGAGCTGGAAAAATAGCTGAGAGCTAACATCT